TTGTGTAACTGGATTGACTTTTCATTAACAGCGGATAAATCTCGAATGTTGTGGCTATTTTTTCTCCTTCGTCTTAAGCTAGTAGGATCTCACGTATTCAAATTAACGCTATCTGAAATTGTTTTCAGTAAGTTTTTGACCTTCGTTTAAAGATAGAATTTCGGATTAAACATAATATATAGTAAAAGACCTTGGTCAGGGTTAATTTATTTTTATTGACTTGCCATAAAATCAATTCTACGTAATCTTGAACATCCGGCTATAAAAATAAATGTACCCACTGATATCACAAAGGACATTGGACGAGGTAAGATTTAAACCCACGTCTTTTTTTTCCCATATTACGATCATTTTGGTTAAAAGTTGTATATTTTTCCTTATTGCAATTTAGCTTAAATTTCATATTTTCTTTATTTCCGAAGAGAACCGAAATATAATAACAGTATATATATATATATATATATATATATATATATATATATATATGCGGGGGGGATGGCGGTGTTTGCGAGAGAGAGAGAGAGAGAGAGAGAGAGAGAGAGAGAGTCTCAGAATATATCCGTAGAGAAGACAAATTAAGGTAGATAAGACAAATTGAATGAAATAGAAATTTGAAAAATAGTACTTAGTCCTTGTTGTCACGTTTCGTCATCTGACTTTATCAAGTGTTATGGTGAAACACACCTATTCTATAGTTAATAGACTCTCCCACCTAATATAAGTAAGAGTAGTAATAGAGAGTCAGTCAGTCAGTCAATGTCGGACGACTGGCTGATCGGTTGAACTCTCTGCCTTCGGGCGGGGAGGAACCCGAAAGAGACTATGCCGAGGGGCGGAGTCTCGTTCGGGGAGGTAAACCGTCCCTGAAGCCGTTTATACGGGTTCAATATGCCTATTTTTGGGCCGAGCCCATGGGCTCGGATATCACACATTAAATAACCGACCTTGTGTCACATGCTGCCCCAGTGACTGAATATCGTCAGTCGATGTCGGACGACAGTTAGTCGAATACGAAAGTAGTCAGCGACCACAACAAGATTACTCTGCGTAATACCTATTATATCAAGTTCCTAACGTTTTGTACGTCGTACCTCTTTTAGGACCGATTTAGTACAAATACAAGCCTCCACTGCGAAATAACTCCACAACATCAAGGCAAGTGAGGATAAACAAAAGTGAAATGTTGTGTAGTTTCACGAAATGCAAAAGTTTTTAAAAGACACTCCTGCGAAAGCCTCTTTCTGTATATTAGTAACTTTTTCTTTTTCTTTTTTTTTTTTTTTTGAATAAACTTTTTGTTTTTCTTTTCCATGTCGACAATGAGTGAAAGTTCTCCGAATATATCTGTAGAGAAGACAAACTGAATAAAATAGGCAACCGTAAAAATAGTACTTAGGCCTTGCCAACGCGTTTCGTCATCCGGCATTATTAGCATTTGCCTTGATAAAGTCGGATGACGAAACGCGTCGGCAAAGTTAAGTAATATTTTCTGATTGTCTATTTTATTCAATTTGTCTTCTCTAATTCAATTTGTCTTCTCTACAGATATATTTTAAGAAACAAAAACATACACTTAGTAAACTAGCCTAGAAGCCGCCCTTCGAGCAGACTTTAGGCTAGCTCCCGCTGAGGGCTTTTGGGACCTTCGGCTTTTTCCCTTCAGCGTCAGATGTGCGTAAAAGTTATAAGAATTTAGAAATAATAAAATTATTTTATCTTTATTCGTCATCTTAATTTGGCATAATCTTTCTTCGTATACGCAACGTATCTCCGTAGTTTGTTTACATTTATTTTGCGCGCAATTTATATTGAAATCATCATTCTTTATGATCCTTAAAGTCACTTAAAAGACATTAAGGAAACTGAACTATGTAATATTTCGAATACGTCACAGTACGCGTGCTAGAAAAAGAAAAAAAAGAAATGGGCAACATACTGTTCACCGCTTATGTTTTAATTGCAGTTTAATTAGACGATATCATTTTCAGTCGAAATTAAAGTTAAACTTTTAATAAAGAATTGTTTTAAGACCTTTCATTCTGTTCGATATTTAAATTTAACTTTAAATGGGTTATTTATTTAATTTTTAATCGCTTGTAACTACAGTAGATACTAACCGTTACTTCATGTTTATGATTCGCCGAGATCAAAAAACGGACGGACAGACGGACACACGTACACTACGCTTTATTTATATAGATCCGACATTTTTTATTCCTTGAAACATTACTATTGTGGTTATTCGAAATAGACGCGCCATTTCTATTACGCCTGTCGGCTTGCGCAGTAGAAAAATCTTAATAAAGAAATGTGCTGTCCAGTAAGGATGGAACCTGCGATCTCTTCAGTAGGCGAATTCACTGTTTGATCAGATGTACTTTATCGGCTACAGAGAGCGTCACAACTTAGCAAGTCTCTATTTTTCCTTTTAAGGGACGTATACTTCGTCCTTCAGATATTTTTCTCGCAAACCCATATTTGCTCAGATTCATATCTGAAACGTTATGATCTTGCTAATCTATCCTTATTTCTGTTGTGGGGCTCTTACCTTTTTACATAAGATGGACTTGTCCAAATTATACTTCTACTGACAGAGAGAATATCCGCGGTTGAGAAACGTCGAGATACAGTCTCTGACTGTGTTCGGCGTCTGTCGAACTCTCTGCTTTGTCAGAGAGGAACCTGGACGAGGCTTTGCCGAAGGGTAAAGTTTCGTCCGGGGAGGTAGACAGGCCCTGAACCCGCCTATGCGGGTTCAAAGGGGATATTTTTTTGGCTGACCCTACGGACTCGGAGAAACCCACTTTAAACTCGGCCTTGTGCCACATATATTCCTCGTGGGTGGAATGTTGAATATTGAGATACGTTGAGACAGGTTGCGAGATACGGAGACAGACAGGGTGTTCTCAGAGAGTTATACAAGAGTCCAGAGAGAGAGAGAGAGATATGATTACAGCTTTACTTGCAGAGACTTGTACATATACTTCCTACTAACCCGCATTCCTGGACTACTAATCTTCACTTCCAGTCTGTATTCTTATGTTTAATACACTTATTTTTCTATCTCAATTTCTGGCGTTGTTTATTTATTTGTGCAGGATTCCATTCACGGAATCCACAACAACTTCTATGGTAAAGTTTCAGACGAGCGACATTCTTTAGTTCCACCAGTTCAGACCTTTACTGCTAAGAACCTTCATGATCCGTTCACAGGGTCGAATCATTTTCACTCCTTTCATATTCCATTCATATTCCATTGGTAAGATGAAAGTTCCAACCAGACTGATTTTTTGCAAGAATCACCACTTTGTGGAAGAAACTCCCGCTGGGTTGCTTCCCCGATCACTATAATTTAACCTCTTCAAGTCTAGAACCAACCGTTATCTATCCTACTTATCCTTGTAATCTGCACTTATTTCCAATGTGGGTGAACATTTAGGAAATAAATATTCGCCTATTACTTTTAGTTTCTTCAGTTAAACTAATCATATGTTATTCTAGAGCGAAATGTTTCTATGTTAGAATTCCATTTGTCATCTAATCTAGAAGCAATTATTTAAGGTTAGTTTCATTTTGCCACCGCAACAAAGTTTGCCATTTCAGTGAAATTTATTCATGATTACTGAATAGCATTTTTTTTTTTTAATACAAAAATAGAAAAGTGTGTAAGATAAGGATGTGTCTTCTCAATGCACTTATTCAACTTATACTGTAAAATGATTCGGGGAGAATTAGACGTCCTACCAGGATTTATTAGGGGCGGCCATAATCTTAATAACATAAAATATTTAGGTGGCACAGTGTTGATAGCATACACAGAAAGGAAACTACATGAACTCCTGCAGAAGGTAGTAAAGGAAAGCAAGAAGAAAGGACAAAACGTCAATTATAAAAAAAAACAACGAATGTATGATTGTCATCAAAAACAACTTGGAGATGCCAAAACCCAACAAATACAGCGTCCTGGGTAAGACGATAAACTACATCCGCCTCCTGGGTAAGACGATAAACTACATCCGCGTCCTGGGTAAGACGATAAACTACATCCGCGTCCTGGGTAAGACGATAAACTACATCCGCCTCCTGGGTAAGACGATAAACTACATCCGCCTCCTGGGTAAGACGATAAACTACATCCGCCTCCTGGGTAAGACGATAAACTACATCCGCGTCCTGGGTAAGATGATAAACTACGTCCAACAGTAAGGCCTCTGATAATACGTTTTTGAAAAAATAATGTTGCCAGCTGTACGTTTTTGAAAAAAAATAATATTACCAGCTATACGTTTTTGAAAAAATAATATTACCAGCTATACATTTTTGAGGAAATAATATTAACAGAAATAGATTTTTGACAAAGCAAAAATATTACCAGGAAAAAAAAATGACCCATTGAGGTGTTGATATGCCGTAAAACAAAACAAGTACAACATTTTAAATATCTAAGAATATTTCTAATAAAGAAAATCCGAATGAAAATTAAGATAACCAAACACATTCTTTCTTTTTATGTGCCGTGTCCCTTCAGGACGTAGGCGATCATGGCTCTCCACAGACCCCATCTCTTGTAGCCCTCACTAGGTCTTGTCCCTTTGCTACTTCCCCTAGACCATGTTCTGTGACTCACTTGCTTAAGCCCGCTAAGTATGCCGTGCGTTGCTTTCCCTTGTCTCTCTTTCCCGCTATTCGACCTGTGTATATCAGATTCTCCAGGCCCTCCTTCCTCATTTTATGTCCCAGAAACTTCAGCTGCCTTTTCCTGATGTTAAGTATAAGTTTCCTCCTTGTTTGCATCCTCTCCAAAATCTCATCGTTTCTCACACGCTCGGTCCATGATATCCTTAGCATCCTTCTGTAGAACCATACCTCCGTTGCCTCGAGTCTCTTCTTCATCTTTGTGGAGACTGTCCAGCATTCGCTACCGTAAAGGAAGACGGATGTTCCATAGCAGCTCAGTACTCTTTTCTTTGTTGCAAAAAAATCCTCCTGTCTCGTAATAC